AGAACTGAAACTTTTTGGTTACCAACAATCTTCAAAATATCTTCTTTTGTGTTCTGCAGAAGAGAGAAAGTCATACAGGTTAGGAATGGTATGAGGTTGAGTAAATTATGACAATTTTTGGGTGGACTGTCCCTTTAACCTGACAATGAAATAGCTTAAAGTTTGAACTTTTGGCTGTCAAAACAAAATAATTAGAAAAGAAGACAGTTGGTTTTAGTCTTGACATAAGAGTTATGACGCATAATTCACATTGCATCAGCTCTCCGCGTGGGCTCCAGACTGCCTAATTTTGTCAAATCTGTAAGATTGCTTTCCTATTCTTAGGGAGCTAATAACGCCATATGTCTTTAAATAGACCCTATGCATCACCCGGGCCTTTCATGGGGTTAATATAATCACAGCCTACTAAATTGATTCAGCGGCTCAGATGCACAAGCAGTCTCTTCCAGATGTGCCAAACACAATCAAACATTTTGACAGGGCTGTGAATCACGCCTGAAGGCAACGGCACAGTGCTGATGCTCCTTTGGAACAATTTGACCTCCCTTGATCAATCAGCAAAGTGGGGGCAGTCGACAGCGGTCCGCATCCAGGTGAGAGGGGAGAGCGGGAGAAACGAGAATAGCAACAGTCTATTCTGTCTCGCTGTCATCTGTCATTAAGCTTCATGAATCTGGAGCATTCCATTGCTCTCCGGATGTTTGCCAAATCCAATCAGGGATGCTGAATACTCTGCGCTGAAGGGATTGCAGAGTCACAGGGGGCTACAGCCAAGCAACAGCCGGCTATGGGGGAGAATGTTTAAAATGCAATCATCTCATACACAAGTGAAATATAAGGTGAGAATTATAATAATTCCTGCTAAGATGATGCCGGTGACATTATGGCATCCGACTATAAAAGCATCCATGCTTTTTCAGCAAGCCCTTGTGGTTTCAGGAGCTTAGTTTTACATAATATTCCAACCTCTCTCTGATTCTCTATACCTTTAAAGCAGTAGTTTGCCATTTTTAAGCTGGACACTCACACAGAATGTAGCTTTCACGGAATGTTTATATATATATATGTGTGTGTGTGTGTGTGTGTGTGTGACCCTGGACCACAAAGAGGATGTATACATCTCAATTTCGAAAAATTTACTCTTATGACTGGTTTTGTGGTCCAGGGTCACATATACCTTTTATATATCCCACCTATATTAGGGCATACTTTTTTGTATTTTTTATGCTGATTCATGCATTTATCCAGAAGAATCCCCTTAACTCAATACAGAACATAGACTTTTTGTTTATCAAACCAGTTAAAGATCATGTTACATTTTTGTCTCCAGACTGTGACTAAAATGGTCACAAATGTGACAAAAAAAAGGTGCCTCAATAATTTCAAATTGGCAACAGTTGAGAAAGCTTGAGATTTGTCTACTTTCATTTGAGGACACAGTTCTTTTTAACGACTCAGTCAAAAAGATTCACTGCTGAGGAAGCAGTTTGAATCACACTCTTATAGTCAGTGAGTCATTTAGAGTTCAAATGACTCCTTCACTGAACCGTTAGTCATTTCTTGGTTATGTCCAATTCTAAATGAACTGGAAACTGTTAATGTGATGTGTACTTCTGTATAAAGTAAGCTTGGGAGAGATTATTTAATGACTAGTTGTTCACATGGAATCAGAGTATAGTTCAAATACTAAGTATCAAATACTTTGATTTATTTTTACATTACATGCCCACTTTATAATAAAAAAATAAAATAATTCAAGCTAAAGTGCAGTGTAGGTTATAGCGACTGACTATACTGTAGCATTACCAGCCTTCGTGGCTCCATCCATCAACATAACTTATACATAAATGGGCCAGTGGGTCCCATTACACCCATTAGTGTAAAACAGATTCATTAAATGGCAATCAGTTGAGTAACTATCAGACAGCTTCTGCATCCCACGACCATGTGCTCTGTAATCAATTCAAGAGGAAGGAGAAAAGATCTTTATCAAGAGTAAACAGGTCAGCAAAAAGCCATTAATGCAAGTTGGCCAGTACAGGAGATGCAATCATGCTCTGTTAATCAGTTAATATTTCATGGCATTTGTTGGGGAAATAGTCAAATATTCAGAGCAGTATTATCAGCACAATTAGCTGCCTAATTAAGCATATGTTCCCTCCTTTATGATAGGGAGTTTGTTCTGTAATAGACACTGCGATTCAGCTTTTAGTTGATGATCACAAAGTAATGAGTTATTCTTTGAATTCTTGCTATGTGGCTAAATAACTGTTTGGCTCACAGCTTTGCTCAAACACAAAATACTACATTTATTTGACCCACAGCAAAACTGTTGTCCTACATTTGTGGACTGCCGTATTATTTGACCAATTTTATTAATAAATACCTGAATAGTTAAAAAAAAAAATTATGCTGGTGCAGAAAATATACATAATATTCAATAAATCTTCATTTATACAACAGTTGATGTTTTTTTTTAATGACTCTTTCTGCAGGTTACATCAATACGCCAGTAGATGGCTGTTTATATGAGGGAGTCATTTACTCAAAGCATTAATTCATTCAGGAATGATACAAGTGACTAGTCTTTAAGAGTGAGTCACTGAATCGTTCATTCAGCCAGTTCATTCAAAAACACTAATATATTCAGAAATGGCACTATTTTGTATTGCCGGGTGACACGCAATGCTTTGTTTGCTAAACTGTTTTGATACTTAATTCATGTTTAATTAGGACCAGGACTGGTACATCATCAAAATAAAAAGCTGCATGACACCCACACTGTCATAGTGTTACTGAAACTTTATTCGGGCTGCAGTGTAACCTAACTTTAAGCAAAAGCACTGAAGCCACACAACCTTGCCCCAAACCAAACAAACAGTGTGGTACAACAAAGCCTCTCATTATGGATCACTGAATTCACCTTAAAAACAATAACTTTCAACACTGTTACTTGTTACGTAAGGAAATTAACCACATGAGTCATGCCAAGTCAGGTTCAAGTTAATGCGAAGCAAGAGGATACTTTTCAAGAATTACTGTGTGCGTGTTCGCATTAGTGGAGTCATTCATGAGTAAAAGACTGAGCACTTGTTCTGTTTCACGAAGAACCCTTCTGGAGCCTGTGACTCAATGGAGCGAGTCATGGGCCACCTTTTACACAGCCCTTCTATCAGATGATCTAGTCTGTCTGAGAGTAGCTGTCAGGACGGATCAGTGTAAGAACTGTGTATGTGCCTGCGTGTTCAGATTTCTTTTTTTCTGTGTGTGTGATGCAGTCCAGTGCAGGTCAGAGGGGCAGACAGACCTGGCAATTATTTTCTAAATGCATCTTAATGATATTAGTGTCAATAATTCATTTATGGATATGTTTTATTTATTTATTAGAATTTTTTTTTTTCATATGTCATAATGTGATCTTCTGGTGAAACATCAGCCTTCTATCTAGTGATGTATTCCGGACTTCTCCAATCATTTAGTCTGCATAAATTCCAACCCTTTCTAATAATCGACTCAAGGCTTGCATTCAGATCTGCCTTCATCCAATCAACAACCGATCGGTAGAACCAAGTCCCCGCCCAACTTTTTTTTCCCCCAACAATCCATTTCACTCTGATGCACATCACAATATGGAAGAAGTGTTCTGTCAAGACTTCTGTTATATCGCCACATTAAAGACTAGCTAAATGCTTGAGGGATAAATCTTTAAAGGAACAGTTCACCAAAAAAGGAAAATTCTGTCATCCTATCATATTATTTTAACACATTTATCTTCTGACATGAAACACAAAATGAGATGTTAGTCAGAATGCTAACACTTCTCTTTTCTCTTGCTCTCAAACAACAAAATATAGCACAAAAACTGTATAGACTACTTTGGTAATGGTAATATTCTTGGACCCATTCTCATTTTATTTTCATTGTATGCAAAAGTGTTCTTTAAAGGGGTCATATGATGCGATTTCAGTTTTTCCTTTCTCTTTGGAGTGTTACAAGCTCTTGGTGCATAAAGAAGATCTGTAAAGTTGCAAAGACTAAAGTCTCAAATCCAAAGAGATATTCTTTATAAAAGTTAAGAGTTAGCCACACCTACCTAAAACGGCTCGTTCTAACAAGCCCCCAAATGTCTACGTCACGATGTGGGAAGATTTGCATAACACAGCCCAAATGAAAAAAAAGCGTTAATTTTGTGTTTAACAAAAGAAAATCATATGGGTTTGGAAAGACAAGAGTGAATTTTTTTTTTTTTTACATTTTCCCCCATGTTTTATCACCAAGTTGCTAAAGCCAAAAGCAGCTCATGAAAACTACTATAACAGCTTCTCCTTAGATCACATTATTAATCATGTGTCTGTGTGTCAAAGTAAGATGCTGAACTGAACCTATGGGAATAAATATAGTATTTCGGGGGTTTCATCTGCATTTTGTCAATATGTTGCCATAGGTCATCATAAGCAAATAAAACCAGTCACAAAACCACAAATAGGCCTTCACGTGAAGGAAGTGAAAGATACTCCCTTGCCTCTAGGTGTAAACTCACTTTTTAGAGTGTTTGCAAATGAGGAGAAAGCAGTGTCGATGAGAGCCCACAAGCTGAATTTCACACTTGAAGTGGCCTTCATGGATAATTAGGTTGGAGAGGCCTAATTCACAATCATGTAATGCAGGTCTAGGGAACTGCTTTTCCACTAGAGCATTCCAGCATACCAACCAATCAAACTGCTTTTGTTCCTATGTGTCCATGATGTATTTACTGTGCTAAAAATCATTTAAAACTCTCTTAAAGGGAAAATATTGTTTCTTTTAATGTTCTTCTCATTTCTTTTCTTGCTTTTTAACTCTTAAACTTAACCAATGATGTGAATTTGTAAGCTGAATACTGGAAGAAAGAGTGGTTGAAATGTTTTTATAATCCTGTTTGGAAACAATCATAATTTTGTGATTTCATTTGGTGCCACTAGTGGCGCTGAACTTCCAACACACATTTTATTTAACCTTACCTTGCCCTCATGGTCTTCAAATACTGATTGGTCCACATTGCAGGCGAAGAGGGACGTGGGGAGATCATTGAAGTCGGTGATTTGTTGGAAACTGTCTCCCAGTGAGGACTCTCCCATGGTGGACTGCAGGACTACCAGCTCTTCCCCTCCTAGGAGGTAAACCCGCTGGACGAATGGAGTGCTTCTCATGTTGGCAAATAAATGCTCTCCCTTCATGGCTGTAAATGGTACACAACATCAAAAGTGGAGATATTGGTTACACTTTATTTCGATAGTCCACTTTAGACATTCTATTAACTATAAGTAACTTTGTAACTACATGTCAACTAATTCTCAGAGTAGACTGTTAGGGTAGGTTTAGGGTTAGTAGAATAAGTTGACAAAGAAATATTAAGCAGACAGTCTACTAATACTCTACTAACTGCTAGTTGACATGTAGTTGCAAAGTTACTTACTGTTAATAGAATGTCTAAAGTGGACTATCGAAATAAAGTGTTACCGAGATATTTTCTAATATCAGCAATTGCTTCCAGGCTACATTGTACACTTTTGCAGTTCACAATCATAATTGTTTGTCGAGCTCCAAAAATGCTCCAAAAAAAAGAGCAATGTTAAGTATCAAAAACGTATTTCCATATGACATTGTGCACTATATTTTAAATTTTATGAAGCCACAAGACAGCTTCAGACTAAAGTATACTGTAAGCCATTATTGACTGATAATCAAACAAACATCATGGTGAAAAATGGCCAGATATTCATTTTTGGGTGAACAATTCCTTTAACAGCATTTAATGGGATAGTTCACCCAAAAATGAAAATTCTGTCATCATTTACTCACCCTCATGTCGTTCCAAACCCATTCGACTTTGGTTAATCTTTTAAACACAAATTAAGGCATTTTTAAATTAAACCTAAGAGGTTTCTGTTGCTCCATTGAATATCCAGGTAAGCAAAACGTAGAAGATTCAAAAAAGCCATAAAGACATCATAAAACGAATCCATATGAATCAAGTGCTTTAGTTCAAGTCTTGTGAAGAGATACAATTGCTTTAGCCTACATATGAATAGATTTAATTTAGGTTTTTTTATGTCGTACACCCACACAGCATGGGAAACAGGAACATAGGAAACGATTCTAATTCACTAAAAGAATAATGAATATGATTCACCAGATCCTCTTTGTAGTTATACAAACCAAATGATGAATACAGTAACAATAAACACAAACAAATACAGTCAATAGTATATAATAGTATACATGTATACTGTAGTACATGTGTATGTGTGTGTGTATGTGTGTGTGTGTGTGTATATATATATATATATATATATATATATATACAGTGTATATATACTGTATAATATATATATATATATATATAAACACATGTTGTATCACAAACAAGACATTTATGACCGTATGAGAGGTCAGAGCAAGAGCTGTTTAGAGTATTTTCACTATACACCCAGACAGGAAACAGGGCAAAAGCTTGTCCTCATGACAGGTGAAACAGAACTGGAACAGTTACCTCCCAGAACCCCACCGAGCAGATGTTAACCCCTGGCCCTGGTAACTAATGCTCCACCAAAAGATTAGGTTATGGGCTTAAAGCAGAGCCAGTCTCTTGTCAGCCCACACAAACAACAATGGCAAGTGGGGAACAGCTTGCACCCATTTCCATAAAGCTTTTCCACCTGCCCTTTCTTCCCATGATCCACCCTGACAAGCTTGGTCCGTGGGCAAAGCTAGCACTGTCGCCAGTGTCATATGCACTGTTAAATCTCCCTCAGCTATTTTGGGATCAATAGCCCATCACCAGCCACACATACAGTACACGCTCTCCAACACACACACACACACACACACACACGCGTGCTCTCACTTTCACTCAAGGCTATAGATAGAGGCTGGAGCTGTCTGGTTCAGTCTTGCCCTGTGTAAACGTGGCTAAAAATAGAATGAGGACTAATGAAATGCAGAGATTGTGAGGCACTTGATTAAAATGAAGACTTCCAGACAGGGATCCATTTCATTTACAATAACACAATGACCCTATTATGAGATAAGGATGTGCATAAACTATACATGAGCATAGACATGCTATAAGTGCTCAGCTTTATTTACAGAGATTTACAGTGCCTTTCATTTTGGAAATGGTCCGAGCCAAAAAGAATACTGATTATCTAAAGCTATAGAGGCCATTGACATGTTTGCTTGTTGGCATGACCAAGGTCACTAAACAAGGGAAATATATAGATCCTCCTAATTCACTAAAACAATAATCAATACCATTCACCAGATCGTCTTTGTAGCTATACAAACTAAAGAGTGAAAACAGTAACAGTAAACACAAACAAATTCAGTTAATGGTATATAAGCATTCTTAAATATTGTTAATCGACATTATTATTATTTTTTTATATATATATAAAATAGGGAAAACTAGAAAACTACTAGAAAAAATAGCCTCATATTCTGTTGATTCTAACTTTACTTTGACCCAAATGTATGTATATATATATACATATATATGATTTTTTGTTTTATGTATTTTTTTTATTTGTATTATTTTTATATGTGTGTGTGTGTGTATATATATATATATATCTATATATATATCATATATATATCTCTCTTATTAACATATTATTCCTGTCAAATAATATATATTCCCCATCAAATTCTTTTTTATGTATTTATGGCCGAATTAAAACACATTTGACAAATATTATTTTGGCAAAACTGACATGTTGTTTTTAGAAATATGACTGTTTCTTCTGTATTGGGTCAACCTGAGCCCCAGCAAAAATTACATTCTTGAAAAATGCACTAAACAAATATAAACAGACTGCTATAAACTGGCTGCTAGTGTGTACACTAATCAGAAAATGTTGTTTTACTAAACTTTTATTTTTAACTTTTTATTTTTATTAAAATGGCCATGGGGACTCTGAGACCCAACTAGATCATGAAGGCTAAAAAACAGTAAATAAATGTATTGCTTTTAAACATTATTTACAATGGAAATGTTCTTACAGTTTATATTACAGTGTACATGACCTTATTTGTTATAAGCAAAAGTTTTTAGATGCTGTTGGGTACAAATAATGGCTATTTAAATTAATTATTTTGTATTACATAATATATATTGCATTTGACTCTTTCAGTGCATCAAGGGCAAAATGAAAAGGGTAAGTGTCAATCACAGTCTACTGCAACCTGTTTGCTGCATCCCCCTTTGAGTCATCACTGGAGGAGCGGTCCCTCTGTCGTCATCACCTGACATTCACTTTCCTTCTCTTTGCTATAAGGGTTTATATTCGTCGTTTCTCTCAATCTAATGACTAATATGATAAACCCTTATGGTAAACATGCCAACCTGTCTGAGCAACTGTCAATACAGCACACTACTGGCAGCGTCTGTCAAGGTCAAGGAATGCACTTCAGAAACTAGGCTATTACAAATTCAATTGCGTCATCAAATGACTTTCTTACTCTTTTTAGTCTTGTGCGGATGGTTATAATAACACATCTGACTACCAATACAGACTTTCCAAGTTCTGAGTCCCCATAAACTCTTGTGTAAAAGTGATTTGTTTAAAAGTGACATGCATACAGGGTCAAAGCAATGCAGAAAATATTCAATACTATATTATGTACTGTATAATATATAGGCTACTATATATAGAATAATATGTTGTATATACTATTAAATAATTTCTGCATTCATTTGACTCTCTCTCTCCTCTTCTATGCAATAATAAAAGCAGCAACACCTGTCAAAGCACTACTGTACAGATGCAGGATGATCTAATGGAGTAAGTCGACGCGGTTTTTCGGTACCTGTGCGGGATGTGGCAGTCTGGTGTGCGTATCTTCTGCGCGGTGGCTTTGTCTCCCTCTCTTGCCTTTGTGAATCAAGCTCGCATTCCAGCTGCGATTCACTAATCTCCTAACGTTACTGCAGACAGCTTGAATCACCAATGACCGCCTCTCGGCATTCAAACGATGTTTGCTCTCAACCATACAGTCTATGCTCTCAACCCACTGATGACATACGGCGCGCCGAGCGCGGGGGGATTCAGGGACCAATAGCGTTCTCCTAAAAGCGAATATGCAAATCGGCGAAGTTACGTCAGAGATTTCGCCAGCTGGATGTTGCGGCGCTGTGACACGTTCAGCAGGTTGTTTTTAGTAAATGGGGTGCAGGGCAAAGCAGAGATTTCTCGAAATGATGTCTGTCAGACTCGAAATGGCACAGCACGAGTTGAATAGTGTGGTGAGCTGATTTAAAGCATATAAATTCGAATAAACACCTTGGGTGAGATAGTGTTTATGGGTAAATATTAATAGCCTAAAATAAAAGGGAAAAAGGAAACCTATTAATAGCCTATAATAAAAGTAAAAAAAAAGAAACCCTGCTGAAAGAAAGAGTCTAAACTGGTTTGCTGGTCTCCCAGTCTGATCAGACTGTTCTAGGGTCACCAACATTACATTATGAAAGTGTTATTTTACATTTTAATAATATGTCACAAAATTACAGGCCACAAAACCAGCTTTTAAGACCTGCGAAAAAAATTTTTTCAGCAGAGGCTCCTTTTATATTATTATTATCATTATTATTATTATTTAGCGGTCAAATCTTTACATAATGTAATGTTTAAAATCTACGAAAGCTCAATTATGTGACTAAATGCATATTATGTATATTATATATTTTTTTTATATCTTACGTCTGTCATTAATAATGTCTAGTCATTTAAACAAGGTGAGTTGACATCACCAGTTTACCTCATTATAATCTAACTATAGGGTTAAATCACATGTCATATCATCATACATATGACCCTCTTCATGTGTCAAGGGAAGTTTCTGTGTAAAAATATAAAGGATTCACAGGACAATGATCATTTCAGAGATGCAAAAAGTGTGTGTGTTTTTTGTGTATTAGTATTTGTGTCAATGGATATTAAATGACATTGTATGAAGGAACAGGAATGCTAATGTTTCATTTTGTTACATCACACCACTTTCGAGTCTAGTATCCATGTTTATCATTGGCATTCTGCTAAACATCTCAGGAATGTTGTGCTTGAGGAGTCTTTGATTTCGCAAAGTAGGCCATGCTCCTGGATCCAACATCCTAGATGGTCCTGGAAAAAACGATCCTATCCAATCAGATTTCAAGGTTAGGCTATGTTTGTTTGACAGGAATGCTGTTCCATGGACCATGACCAACAAAAGATGATGCCTGCTTAACAAAATCACAGTCACATGGTTGTTAAGTCAATTGAAATATAAAGAAGGAAACTTTTGCAGCAAAACATGTTCTTTATTGAAACACAATTAAACTTGTTATTTATTGAAATGCACATTGCAAAGTAGCACAAAGGGTTTTCTTCTTCCAAATGTTTACAATACCAATGATTAATTCAAGCAAGTACATCTTCATATTGAATTCATGTAAACATTCTATTTGCCTTGCAAATTAAAGATGCTTGCATCCCAGCACATAAACTTACTCCATGTAACTTATGTCATGTAATATTATGTAATATTATCCAAATATGAGTGTACACAGATGCAGTAAAGAATTTACAGACTACAAGACAGATGTGTTTTATAGAAACAATCCTTTTCACCACTGCAGAAAAAGAAGCACAGTGTTTATACACGTAATAATGTGTTTACATATTTCTGCTTCACAAAATAGAACCTCCTCTTAGTTATATTGTCTATAAACTTTGTCTTTACTTTGTCCATTTAATGCACAAGATGTTTAGCTGTAATATATGACTGAAGTGGTATTAGGCAACACATTTTGTTTATTTCATACATCCTGAAAATGATGAAGTCTCTCAGTCCAGGAAAGGAATTTCCACAACCTCATGCTTTCTGATATATATATAACCTCTATTATGCCATTAGTTATTCAAGAGGTTGACCCAATAAAACTGAAATATATATAAAAGCTAATATCCTAAATGACCTTTAGCGTTGTATGATTTTCTGGTTTTCTTTAGAGGGATATAGTATTTGCCTGTGTCCAGGTCACTGTTTAACATTCAGCATGATGTTTCAAACCTCTGAAGCTCAGCTCAGGATATGCGGTTGATCTCTGCAACTCTTATGTCAAGACTGTCAACAAAGCTCTAAAGCAGTAGCACAGCCCTCTGAACATGAGCGCTCTATCTATGCTTGTATCTCACTGTACAGGGTCCGTCTGGCTGCTGGGTTCCCACCAAATGCAGAGGGCTCTACAAGAACCAGATACACATATTTATCAAGTCCACATAAATATAATATACAACGCTAGTAAGTATTCAGATATTCTTTATATGTATACATTTCTTTGCATTGCATGCAAAATATAAAATCAGATTGCATCTGCAAACAAATGATTCAACTTTTCTAAGCCATTTTTGGTTTTATCCAAATATCTATATATCTAATATAATCCTGCTCAAATGTTTGGGGTTGTTAAGATATTTTAAATGTTTTTGAAAGAAGTCTCTTGCTTTTATTTGATAAAACTACACTAAAACAGTAATATTGTGAAGTACATTATTGCGAATTAAAATAACTGGTGTTTATTTTAATATATTTTAAAGTGTAATTTATTCCTGTGATAGCAAAGCTGAATTTTCAGCATCCATTACTCCAGTCTTCAGAGTCAGATGATCCTTTAGAAATCATTCTAATATGCTGATTTGCTGTTTAAGAAACATTTCTTATTATTTTCAATTGTTCTGCCTGGGTTTGATAAAACTTAAAAAGTATAAAAGTATTTATCAATTTATTAAGCATTTATCAAGTTGCTGTAAAAAATAAAATCTGCCTCCAAAAGTATACATTTATGACAAATAAAATAGATGAATGCATGATTCATATCTAGATCCACGTTCCTAGTATGAACTTTGTTGGTGGGCGAAATTTACAAAGCTATTTTTGGTCAGGCCTGAGAATTGCAAGGGTAAAGAGCAGGACGCTGCTTAGGCATTAGATTGGGCCGTTGTTGGGTAAATACTGCCATAGGAACACATCTGGAAATGATTAACCTAATGCCTACTTTGAAGTCATCTCTTTCAAGGCTTATTTACCATTCTCCATTATATTAAAGTGTAATTTATTCCTGTGATAGCAAAGCTGAATTTTCAGCATCCATTACTCCAGTCTTCAGAGTCAGATGATCCTTTAGAAATCATTCTAATATGCTGATTTGCTGTTTAAGAAACATTTCTTATTATTTTCAATGTAGATACATTGATAAATTTTTTCAAGGCTTTTTGGTCAATATAAAGTTCAAAAGAACAGCATATATATTAAATAGATTTTTTGTAATATTATAAAAGTTTTTCGATCAATTTAATGCATCCTTGCTGAATAAAAGTATTAATTTCTTTTAAAAAATTATAAGATGAATGCATGATTCATATCTAGATCCACGTTCCTAGTATGAACTTTGTTGGTGGGCGAAATTTACAAAGCTATTTTTGGTCAGGCCTGAGAATTGCAAGGGTAAAGAGCAGGACGCTGCTTAGGCATTAGATTGGGCCGTTGTTGGGTAAATACTGCCATAGGAACACATCTGGAAATGATTAACCTAATGCCTACTTTGAAGTCATCTCTTTCAAGGCTTATTTACCATTCTCCATTGGACGTTACTCTTTCTCAGGCCACTTACCGGTTTGGGCACTGGATCCAGCGGGATGAATTCAAACTTGTAGAGGATGAGGGCCACAAACATATGCAATTCCATAACGGCGTACCACCTGTTGACACAATAAATAACAAGTGCTTATTGTTGTTTCTTTCATTTTCATGTCCTCTTTCTCATTAAGAAAATGTTCTAGATTCAAACTCATTTTACTGAAGTGCTCATCACTTCACAAGCCAGCTTGAATAGCACTATGTGTATTAGTATTCTGATGGAATATTGCATGCTGTCTAGCTGCCATTGCACCCTCCCTCGGGTGCTGCCGAACACTGGGAAAACTGTGATTTATATTGCAGGTAGAAAAGCAAAATGTGAATGAACGTCTTGTTTTGCGTTCAAATTCCAGGTGCATTCATAGCCACTGTGGCCTTGTTTGGAGGCGGATAGGGGCATTTTAGGTGAATTGAAGTGAAAGAATTAAGGCACGGAGAATAAGATGGTTCCTGGTTGAGACACAGAAAGGAATAATAATAATAATATAATTATTATTATCATTACAAAGTCTGCCTCATGACAATGTGACATTTGAATGCAAAGTTGGTAGATGTGGATTGAATATTTCAGTGGCATTTGAAATTATTCTAGAGAGAATGTATAGTCCACACATGTTTATATGCATAATGGAGAATACATTTTATATATATTTTTATATTTGTTTAAATAATTCATTATTTGCTTTAATTAATTAATTAATGTATTATTTATTTGTAGCTTTTATAATTTTTTTATTATAAAAATTATTATTAACCCTCTGGTGCTGCTCACGTGGGAGTCAAAAATGAAATAATTTCAATGAATGAATGTACTTGATTTTAGTTTCATAATGTTTTTTTTATTAATAATTTGTGTTTTTAGAGGATTTTATGGTACTAAATTATATTTATAGAATAGTTATGATCCATTAATTACCTGTTAACCACTTTTTGAGCAAAGACCTGAAAATGAAATTTTCAACGTATAAACTGTCATGAATCTTGAATGCTTTGGACTTAAGTTTGCTCTATTTTTAAAGATGTGGCAGTTAATTCTGGAAAAGTTTAAAAAGTGAAACTAAAAATAGTTATTGAAGTTTGTTTATTATTGTGAAAAATGTACAAAAATACTATTTTTAATTTTTACTACTATTTTTTTTTTTTTTTCAAAACATGTTTTAAGTGCTTGAACCCCTGTTGAAAATGATCTTTTAGTAAGATTTTGTTTGGGCACAGTACCAAGTGTTTCCAGGTGTTTTCCAATTCACTTCCTATTCATTTCCATTGTGTTGTTCACATAGCAAGTGCCAAAACCTTTACCAAGTTCCATACCCTTGACGGGGGGGACCATTAACATTTTTGGTCAAAAATTACCAAACAGCAGCAGAGGGT